TCGTATCTTTTTCTCATTGAGTTCCTCATTGAGTGAAACTCTTCCGCTCACCCTCTGAGACTAACTTCTATAAGCTATCTGCATTGCACCATTGTACATCCAAGTATTATATTGGTGAAGAGGGCCAAGGACACAAAAGGTTATATTTAAATAGGGGGCCGGCTGAATACGTTCCCTGCAACCTAAAATAGTTAAGCATTCTGTTCTGAAATTTGATATCCCTTTTGAAAGGAATTAGGTTAAGGACGTATCCTGTCAAATCCAATCTTACACAATACAATTTTATATGGCGCCTTTCATGTCAGGATGTCCCAAACCATTATGTTGTAAATTGAACATGTTGCAATGTGAACAATTAATTCTTCCCCTTTACTCCTGCAGATATTGTCTGTGGCATCAATAGGTGTGACTGCCATCCTAGACACAAATGTTGCAGAATCTGTGGAGAATCAGGAAATGTTGATAGAGCAGATAAGAGGCAGATAATTCTGCAATATGCACTGTTTAAGTATACTTGTGAAGAAAACGTCTGGCAATATCGCAAAATCAGCCTGATAGACCAGAGCTATTTATCAACGGTGGTAGAAAGATAAGACAGCAGCTTTTCATAGGAAACAATAACAACTTGCATTTATATAGCACCCTTCATATGAATAGCAGAAGGAAAGCAGGTGGGAAGATTTGGAAGGTTTTTGTTGTAGACAAAGGCCTGTTACCCCCATGTGTTTTTTCTACAGTGCGCCGATCAACACTGAAACATGTAGAAGAATGATGGTAATTGTACTTTGAAGCACTTAATTGTTATTCAGTACAAGGGTTTAACTGTAGTTAGACGTCTGGAGGATCGGTGGGTGTGAGCGCCATCATTTTCATGGCAGATAATGATCCGTCGCCATGTTCGGTGCCACATCTTCTGTAACATGGATTTGAGTGACGAGGAGACAGCTTGTTTCAGCTCCTCCGCAGTCTCATATTGCTGTTTTGTAATAGGGGCTGAGAGGACTTTGTGGACACCCTGTACATTGTGCAGCAGTAGCACATTCCCTTTTTAAAATCCTTAGGGGTGGCTGTCAACAACGGTCTGTGGCAATAAATTCTACCTTCCAGACCACCCTCTGTGTAAAGAGTTTTCTCTCTCTCGTTAATTCCTTGAATGGTTATTTTAAATTTGTGTTCTCCAACGCTGCGAGAGGAATTGTTGTGAGTTCAATTTGTTTTATAAACCTGTCCCCGAATGTGGTCACCCTACCATCAGCCCGTCCAAACTTTTCCTTCCAGAACACCCACCGTATTATTTTGCCATTACAGCATCAAGCTGCTTTTTAAATGAGTCAAGTGTCCCAGCCTCAACCACCCTCAATCCACTGATTGTGTTTTGCAAGAATATCAGGTGCAGTGTATTTCCACCAGAAGCATTGAGAGAACACACATTTAAAGTAATCATTCACAGAATTGAAGAGGTTAGAGAGAGAAATAAACTCTTTACGCACAGGGTGGTCCGGAATGCGGAATTCACTGCCACAAACCTTTGTTGAGAGCTACTCCGTAAGGATTTAAAAAAGGAAAATAGATTCCTGAAGAGGAGGAATACTAAAGGAGAAGAGACCACAAAGCAGCACAAAAACTCTTGTGTAATTGTGAGGTATGGATTAGAAGTTAATTATTACAATTGAGGAACGAGCAAAAAAGTGGGATTAGATGAGACGGAGAGAAACACTGGCACAGACGTGGACTGAATGGCCTGTTTCTGTGATGTGGCTAGTCTTATCACTTGCACGATAACTGGGCTCAATTGCTTTAAAGTAACAATACGCCTAGCGCAGAACTGCGTAGCATTGATACTTGCAGATGTGATAAAGTTACTTTTTTGGTGGTTTACAAATAACGAGAAATGTTGTTCTGCCAGGGTGGCCTCTCCTCTTACACTGGGGGCGAACAGAAGCAGCAACAAGTCTTCACCCTCCTGCAGTCTCGATCTCCGATGATGGGAACGATTTCCTCATGAGCAGAGAAATTGTCTTTAAGCAGAGTTAAGTGCACATTGAGATTAGCAATCTGTATGACTCAGTGTTCTCCCTGGGCCCATCATCAGTTACGAGGCCATCAGAGGAGCCATTACTGCATAGAGGCACTACTGCAATGGCAAATTGGACTGAATCAATTGCTGTTTCCAAGAGCCAACACGGGCACAATGGACTGACTGAATGGCTTTTTTTTCTGTGCTGTAAATTTCTATGGTTCTATTCCTGTTAGCACAGAGAAGACAAACAGAGTTAAAATGCACATTGAGATGAGATAACTCAGCATTCACTGGGGATTCATTGAAACTTCCCAATCTGTAGGACTCAGTGTTCTGCACATGCCGTCATTGGTTATTAGGCCATCAGAGGAGCTGTTTATTTATTTTAAATAACTTGGCTTGACACAGATAATTATAAAGCTGCCTTCTTCCAAAGATGCTGCCCCATGTCAGTGACCAGGAAACCTTTGAAGCTGCCTGAGGTTTAAGACACAAAAAAAACATACAGATTCAACGAATAGGTTTTCCACATTTTTGCCTTTCTCTTATCAACATAAGGGATTCATGATGCTTTCTACTTTGTCATTGTAAACTTGTAGCCCACAGTTAAATGGTTAATATTCAAAGCTAGTGACTAATGTGTGTTTGGAATTGAATTTAAAAGCTATTATTTTTATTTCTGTGCCGCTCTCACTCAAGTCTGTCAATCATGAACTGCATCTTAAAAACAAAGTTCACTGCACAATCTCTAACAGTAACTCATGATCTCAAGACTGTGGGATTCTGCACAGTCTTTCATTCCTCCTACAAGCTGCAGACTTTTGAATCCTAAGCTTGGCTTTACCCCACCTCATGCTCTGTTATTCTTTCCATTATTGGCAATGTCCTGCACCTCAGTGAAAGGAATTGCAGGAATAACTGTGACAGATGCTTTCTGTTAGTCAGTTCTCTTTCTCCTGAGTGCACTGACTGACCTGTGTGCAGTGCCCAGCTCACCAAGGAGTCTCACCCAACCAAGGCAATCAAATCGGAGTGACCAGAAACACAGCACTCAAGCAAGAACCGACGGGCTGTGTGAGAAATTGGGAAATTTCCTGATAGCGCCATCAATGGTTCCTGAGCTCCCCTTAAACGACTCCGGATGCAAACTATTCCATCCAACCTACTTCAGAAGTTTCGTTTAAGCCCGATAAGGTTTTAAATGCACAGATGTCTTGTGCTTTTTTGGCACCTTCCCTCCCACATGAATTGGTGCCATCATTTTACATTTCAATCCCAAGCCCTTTTCGGGAGCCAGTCGGCCACTGCACCCAAGCTTCTGACCTTCTGGCAGTGAGTCAAATGCCCCTAACCTTTGAGCTGCTGGGCAATGTTATCCTACCCTTTTCAGTGCATTTCAATGGCATATCTTCGTTAATAATAAGATCTTTAATTTAGTGCCAGAGGGAATATAAATAGAATCAAATGTCTAATTTTCACATGTTAATAAACCTGTGCTTGCACGAAACACTAGTAATGAGAGGTTTCACGGGAAGCAATTAGCAGATACACTTGAAGTGCAGTGAAACATCTCCCAGCAAAGGCGCAGTTTTATTACGAGAGGTTTTCAGTGCAGTACTCGTCTCAATTAATTACTTGGAACAGATGCACCACACGACTGAAACATCCATTTCTCCCAACGAGTCAGTTAATTGCTGTGCGCAATTGGCTGCCGCGTTCGCCCACAACTATACAGTCAATTCACTTTACAGTGTGTTCTGTGAAGCGCTTTGGGACGTCCTCCCGACGTGAAAAGCGCTAAATCAAAAAAATCAAATGCAAGGATTAATGACATATTCCAGCTGCAGGTGTCCAAATTAGTCAGCAATGCACTGAAAAGTATATGCTGTAATCGAAGTACAGTTACATATTGGATAAGGATGCAGGCTGATGATGAGAGTGCTCAGCTTGCAATGTATATTTTTTTCAACCGAGGCTTTTTCAAGATGGCTACTACTGTGATCTTGCAAATGCTACAAGAAGACTTCCTCCACCTTCACAGTCATTCAGAAGCTTGATGGCATCTTTCGTGACCACATGATGGCAGCAGCAAGCCTGACAAACGATACCATTCAATTCACCGCATTTTCAGTTTCTCACAGTCACATTGCGAGGCATCAAGGGAGCAGTTTTATAATGCAAATGAGAGAACAGAGAACACGCTGCAAACACAAAGAAAATACCAGCTGCGCATGTAAGATTTTAATAAAATTATGATAAAAAACTACTTGTTCCCCTTCGTTTCTTGCACTTGCCATGGTGGGGGGTGGGGATGAAATCATGATAAATTAGCCCCGCTTCTTCCTGATATTGGCAGGAACTGGAAGCTCTATCTGCTTCAACGTGACAGGATCCCAGTCTCCCCTGATTAAGCAAGCCACGCTCTTGTCTCTCATTCTTAACGGAATGACCAAATTTGGAGTCTTTAAGTCACACAAATTTTCGGCAAACTTATTTACTCTACACGCCTCGGTTTACCTAGCAGTAAGTAGCAAGCCAGTTGTTAGTCAATTGGCGGATCACTTTCCTGGGGTTAATAAACCCCACAAAAAAGAACTTGGTCACTCAGTCCATGACTGTTTGTGGGACACTGCTGGCACAATTGGCTGCTGCGTTTCGCCAAATAGTCAATTAACTTTCCAGTCCATTTTGTGAAGCGCTTTGAGGCGTCTCAAAGATGTGATAAGGAGCTAAATCAAATGCAAGGATTATTATTATTAATAAGAGTGCCGATTTATGCATTCTCCTCACCTTCCTTTTTCCTGCCTGTCCCCATCTGAAGAAGGTGGATCAATGGATGACGTTCGCTGGTGTCAATATTACTCCAGATGCTGAATTGTTAATCATTTTGTTTCTCGCCCCCCCCCCACTCCCCATAGTTAAAAATAGGACACTGCTCTCTACGCTTCATAAATCAACAATACACTTGCCATCCATGGGGTGGGGGTAGGGAAAAGAAACTTTATTAAAAGATTTGATGTACAAATGCATTTAATCTCAGTACATAAACTGTACATACAATGAATTTACAAAAATACAACTGATTTTGCCAAAACATAAGCATAATGCACATCACCGCATTGAAATAAAAACCGCAAGCATGGATCAGGTTTTCTTCACAGTAATTTGTGTGAAAAAACGACACATTAATTACCCCAATATGCGAGTCAATTCCACCTACTTAACTGGGATTCCACTAAAGTGCTATAATTCTCTCTCTCTCTCATCAATAAGGCCAACATTAATTAGTGTTGATATTCCCAGCGTCCTTCCTTCCTTGCTCCCTGCCTACCTCTAGCATCTGACCACTGAAAGGAAGAACTGCGTAACAAACAGCAACATCTTTGGCTGCTGCCAAAACAGTGCAGTGGTTATTCAGTGTGAGATACTGAAATACTGTGCTAAACAAGTTCTGGATTGATCAACGGGAGTTGACTTGTACATGAGTATTCTGAAAACTGATTCAAAGTTTCGCAGACTATTTTTTTTGACTTGTCCTTTTTAAAATTCGGATTTAAAAAAAATTCGCGGGATGCAGCTTTACATTACACCTGCATCTTGAAAATAAATTCATGAGCTGAAGCCTAAAGAATTACAGCACTGTGCGACACCAAGCAAGTTCTAACTGTACATACATACCGACCTGTGGATGTCAGAGCAGATTGCTCAGTAATAACTATGCTAGACCTACTGTTGTAACTGTAGTACTGTACAGACTAAAATAGAAGTGTAAAATGTGAGACCAAAGTCCTTCTAGGATTACATTTCTGGCGACGCAATCATTATCTGAAGGCTATTTAGCATTCACTCTCGTAACGCTGTTTCCACGCAATAGTCACTTGCAATTCTAAGAAGATTCAACATTTTACAAAGAACATTGAACTCTTTGTCTGTGCAGAGCAAAAATGTTACAGGTCCACAATTCACAAAGCCGTTACCAACCACTGGAAGTGCAACGGAACTCATCTTATTTAATAACACGAAGGAATGAGTAAAATCTCTGCAGTTTATTTTTTTTAAAAAACACCCCCTTACCTATACAGTGAAAATAATAATTAACAAAAGACACCATAAGGCAACACTAAAACTCTCATGAGATTTTGAGGTATGGATTAGCAGCGAATTATTGTAACAGCAAACACGGCAATAATTTTTACTGTTCCACCATTTTATACTGCAAAGATTATTCTGCTGTGTGTGTGCAGAATGTGGATGAACCAAAATCTTCCTCATTATCAGCGACAATTCGGGAAGCTCAGCAGGTTTGGCTCTTTGTCACTGCAGTGAACTGTATTTTATTTTGCAGTTAGCAAATAGCATTAAGTGAATGAAGGGTAGCAGCAATCCAAAAACTGGAACAATCCAAGGGGGTGATATGACAGTCCACCCTGGGCAAATCCAGCTGTGTGCTGTCAACAGTGATCTGATAATACAGCAGACACCAGTTGGGAAGGTGGCTATTGTGACGGAAACACTTGAAATGCTGACGAAATAGGTTGTGGAGAGCGAGGACTGACACTTACAGATTGGAGGACATTCACCCCATCACTGCAATGTGGCAGAGAATGAGAGATGAGGTTATTTACAAGAGTCAACGGGATCTCACAGATCGTGAGGACCTGGCGAGAGATCTGGAGAAAACTGCAGAGTTTAGAAGTAACGTACGACAGAACGAACACCTGTCACATCAGCTGTTCAGGAGTCGTACTGGACACAGCTGGAGCGGGCGTTTCTGTGCTGTAACGTTCTAGGATTCTAAATATTGCAAGTGCTCGGAGACGCTGTCTGGCGTGAAAGGCGCTATATAAATGCTAGTCGTTGCTGTTATTGTTGGGACTGTTTGTTTTTTGAAAAGCATAAATGAGGCAATAGCAAATGTGTAGTTCACAACTCTGCAAAATAAGCCAGTAAAAGTCTACCGTTGAAAATTGTAACTGGTTTGAGGGAGGCTGATTTAGGCCCCGTCCCAACTCACAACTAAATGATAGAGAACACAGAGAGTTACCAAACTGGAATTGCACAGTGAATGCTTTAAAAACAATGGCTAAGTTACAAAACATGTAGCTCATGTTATCCAATTCTAACCAGGCTGTTTCGAGTTATAATAAGCTCTTTTCCTTCACATGACAGGGAGTGGGAGGGAGAGGACTGCCCACAATCACAGCACAAGTTGAAGAATAAATTGTCTTGAAAGGGCCACACAAGGGTTATAATTTGTGGAAGGATGGAGACTTGTAAAGGTAGAGAGTGGATGGGGCCAGCCTTTAAAAGGAGAGACATCATACCTAAGGAACGCGGGAAGATGGCACTTGTTACTCTATCTTTTAAATCCCTTCCTCTCTGGAGGTTGGTCTGTGCTGGCAGCACAAGCCCTTCTCATTCCCAGCCTGTTCCCTTTGTGGTTAAGAAGCAAATGTGCAGAGAAATACAAGCAGACAGAGACCAAGGCAAATAGAAAGGTGATCCTAAAAGAAATTCAATACTGTAGGAGAGTTCTTGGCATGGAATGCAAGCACTTTACCACAACTACATTGTGTGCATTCATAGCAAAAGTTCACAAGTTAGATCTCTCTGGTTCCAATGGTTGTTCTGTTACAGAGGTCCCCCTGGACAAACCTTCGCTGGTCCCTTTCATCTGCATCAAAGCCAAGGTTTCTTTGCGTGGGAATGTTATTCAGGACCCCATAATAATTTCTGCTGCATATTTGAGACATGTTCATAGACCTGCCCAGGCAGTGGAACTAGATCTTGGTGTGAGTTGTCAAGGACTATCTCCATGGAATAGCTGTAATACAAAAGTTATCTTAGGTATGTGCGAGCTGAACTTTACTCTGGAGAACTGAGCTTAACGTTCAGCATTTGTGTGCAGGTGTCAGATTCTACCATTAATTGAACAGTATATAATTCATTACTGCTCAAGGCCACGGAGTATTCAATCAATCACACCTTGGACTTGTGGGAATTCAGCAAAGCATTACTACGAAGCATTAAAAAGTCACATCCTGACATATGCATCTGGATCTCCGCCTGAATGGGGTAGTCGCAACTTGTGTGCATCATAGCTAAAAGTTACCAGTCACATAAAAAAAATGAAAGACTGCAGTAAACTTTACTGTCATCAACAAAGTCCTTATGGTGGGATGCATCTTCAGGTCCTCTTGCAGCAGGATATAGAGTTCCATTAAAACCTCTCGGCTATATTTCTCCTGACCCATTCCAAGGCAGGTAACCGACTGTGCAAGTATACTTTCTCATACAAGCGCTCTTGGGGAAAATGCATCTACAGTTCTCTTGGGCCTCTCTGGTATTCTCTCTGCTCCTACTTCTCCTGTAAGTATTATTGCATCAGCGACAATGTGAGCATCCCCTCAAGACAATAATTCACCTCTTTCTCTGCCAAGTCTTTCTGCTATGTTCCCTCTAAGAGGTGTGAACAAACAACATTGTAGTCTGATAAACTCATTGGAACGACAAACCTTGTTGAGCAGGATCTCTTATAAACATCTTTCAATAATTGCCTGGGGTGACTCTGCCATGCGGTATACACGACTATGCATAAATTGATATATTACATGCAGCTTTTCTGATACCACCACTACTTGTTCACTTATGGCATTGACTTTGCCATCCATCCCTCTTTGCAAATCACAGTCATTAAAAAGAAAAGATTGGGAAGGACTAACAAATGACAGGAATGTATCATTGCAGCATCACTTCCCCTCCAACAGCACCTTCCGCTCTGTTAAGAACAAGAGTACTGTACACATACAGATTCTGCACAATCTGACAAATGCAACAACAAATAAGTGCCATTTCTCTGTCACAGCAATGACAGGAGACCCTGAAAGAACCCACCGATTAGAAAAACCTATCTGTGTTTCAGCAACCCTCTCAGCAAGCTCTATTGATTTGTTCTGTAGCAGTTGCTGCAGCTGAGCAGAAATGGGTCAGGGCCTTTCACATTAATGACCGCTAATCTAATCTGCGATTACATTTACTTAATTCGCTGACAACAGCAAATAAAGCAATAGAGGTGACTTGAAATTAATTTTTTCTTCCTTCTCACTTATTACATTATTACTGTATCTAAAAAATGGGTTTTGCCAAAAGAAAAGTAAAAGCATTTAAAAAAAAATGAAATTTTCCAGTTGGAAAATATCCCAATATACAGTACCTAATACCACATTCATTGATCCTCTACCTAACAAATAATGCGCCTCCTGTCAGAGAATTCACTAGCAACCTTTCTCTGTACTGGATTACAATGAGTCTTCCAACTCCTATGCATAAAGCCATTCTACAAAAGTTAGAACGCGTCACTGATGACTTCGTTTCATAAACTTTGCAATTGATAAATTTATATAATTTGTTTTAGCTGCACAAATCATTACTATTTTTTAAATTCCCATCACGTAAAACAAATCAATACACAGTCAAATCTTTGCTGGAGACTGCTGTGGTTTGCAATTGTTTAGTTGTTCTCTCAGCTTCAAGCCTTTGCTCCGCTCCACTGCCTGCCTGCTTCCAGTCAAACACCCAACTGTTTCTTCTGTTCAAAGTAGGATTCAAATCTGGCCAGAGCATAATCCTGAAGAAGAAATGTGTTAAAGAGTTATTTGGTTTAACAAGCAAAAGAATATACACAGCAAAATAAAATTCATACATATCCTATCTCGTATTATGTAAAAAAAAGTTTCCAAAGCGAACACTTCAACTGGATTCGCGTGTAGTTTGTCAGAAACAAATGGTAAATAAAACACCCATGCATCCTATTTTGTCACGCATTCATATTTTACTCACCATATATCCAAATTCAATTGCTGAAATTCTGGCCTGAATGATCGACCATAAGCCCCAAAAGAAATGTGAAGCCAGTGCATATCTGGGAATTTAAAAAATATTCAATGTTAATATTAAGACAATTAAGAGTTGAACTAACAGGTCACTGAGCAATATCTTTGCCCAATGTAACAAAATGGATGAAAAGGCTCCTTTGGCTAATTTGCTCTCATCCATTCAGAATACCATTGGAGCATCTAGGTCTTTCCTAAATTAATTTCCTCTCCTTGCCTCAACCGCACTACTTGATAACTTGTTCCAGATGTTGATCACTTTAGTGTGTGGCAATATTACCTGGTCTGTCCAAAACATTCTCTTCACAACCCCAAATCTGCAACCTCCTGTCCAACTGTATTGAAATCTTTGTGAGCATTGCTGAGACTACTTTCTACAAAGCACATCAAAGGAGACTTTCTATAGTAAGGGGCTTATTCAACTATAGAAAGTCCCCTTTGATCTGTGCTTTTCAAAGCTGAAGAGCACAAGCTCAGCTAGTTGTTTTTTTTATATAATTCATGTTTCTAACACTACAAACTTTCCTCTTCTTTTCCCTGTACAACCTCTAGGGATTCTCTTTGTTCACGGTGACCAGAATTGTATGCAGCCGAACCGTAAAGAGTTACGTCCGGGTAACTGAACCCAACTCCAGCCGCAGACAATTGTTCTTTGCCTGCTGAGTGAGAAATCCCATTATAAGCATGAAGCAAAATATTTCCTACATATAGATTCCACCTTATATGCACAATAACTCCCTTATAACCCGAATTTTGTTGCTTAGAGCAAACAAAAGTAAAATCATATTTTCAAAATAAGAAAGGTTTCGATCATTTTGGATATTTAATAATTAATTGTTGTGACTGCACAAGGCATTCCATTCAGTTACACAATAAGTAAATACGCTCATTGGAAGAGCTTTACCACACATGTTCAAGAATGCAGGTAGTGCTGTATTACCACATATTCATTGTATTCAAAACACACAAGATTTTAAAGCTACGAAGTATACAACGTATTCTAGCTTCACCAAACAAAATAATTACCTATTTATTTCTTGCAACATTTGCTCTTCCATTTTCACTCTCTCAGTGTCATCCAAATTGTCAAATCCATTCTGGTACTCGGCTTTGTAATTTCTGATGAAATGGAGCTGTCATAGAATTCATCATCACTTAAGAGTTAATGATAAGTACAGGAAATTTGCTATTGTTATATTTCAGTCCAGTGCACATTGGCAACAAGTTCCAGAAAGATTTAATAACCTTTCCTCCAAACTGCACTGGAATGAGGTTTTACAATATTCCTCAATGTTAAGAATACAAGAAAAGGTGAACTTTACATAGACTGCAGACCACAATTATAAGGCTGTACAATTATTAGGCTGTAATCTGATAACGACCTTGAATTCTGTCATAAAAGCACAATAGTTAAACTGGAAGAGTTGTGCGTGAACCTCAGGATGAGTTTAAAACTTTCAAAAGCACCTTTTTAATTGTACAGAGTGTGAATTTTATTTGGAGGCTTCCTTCACTGCCAACAATAGGTGTCAAATTCACTCTGGTGCTCAGCTGTCCTGCTATTCCACTTCACTGAGAAACCAGGCCATAAGGTTTACGACTGTGATGCCATTACTGCACGGTTACTGTTGAGATATAATTGATTCTCAATTTCTAGGATTCACAGAGGGTCGTGGATATTTGAGATTAATGTATGTTGTGAGGACGAACACTTCTATATGTTACACTCTCGTGCCATCATCCTCAATTCCAGATTAGTTTGTCGATTAAGGGGGAAAAAAGAGAATCTGCAGTTGCTCACGTAAAAGTATTTCACATTAGAGACAGGTAAACTAATCAATCTGTGCTGGTTCATTTGGTACTGAGGAGTTCTGTGGCATTGTTGCTATGACATACACTTTTTAAGAGTTTTAAAAGCCAACCATGCTATTAAAGTGCTTTCATGCCACACACACTATTCATTGCGTGTTCCGAGAAATTTCAATACCCTTCAAAAGCCAATACCTGCTGGGTTTGGGTTGGGTAGTTCTCTATCGAAGCTAAGAAAAATGGATACTTTTCATAAGTATAATCGTAGATCCATTCACAGAAGTGGTTCCCAATATCAAACCCTCTGTAATAAAAAGAAAAAACATTCATTATTGACACCTTACCATATACACTTTTGGTTTCCTTTACTTATACTTTTTTTTAAAAATACACTATTATAAAGACATCCAACCAAATAGGTTTGCAGAGTGTAATGTACAGTAACATTTAAGGCTAACATCATCTTCCGGCCCCCTCTGCCCCACCCCCACCTCAACTTTTTCACTTATGAAGTCAATTGACAATTGTTGGGTTACAATTCCACAATCGCCAGCAGTTACTCACTGAGACATTGGGGAAGGTTTCTTCAAGTTCAGTTAAAAAGTTATAGTTTAGTCTATTCCCCAATTACACCTTATTCAGAGATGCAAGTTACCCGAGATCAGCAGGCTCCTCTCCCAGCTGTACAACCATTATACAGTTCCCTACATAAGGTCGGACTTCCAGGTTACTAGGTGTGGGGAATCCTCTTATTAATAATCAAGTTGTACTTGTGCCTGGTGGAACTTAGCGCAGTAACTGAAAGATTCAGTTCTTCGGTAAAGGCTATTTATTATAATTTGCCAAAACCACATCAGAATTTCGACCTAGCCATGTGTTTAAAATATCAAAATATCCAGAATCTAATGTTTTTCTAATGAAGATTTTAATTAACAAAGAATCAGGAAGAACGCCTAAAGAAAGGCTATAGAAAGGATCCAAGGAACAGATTGTGATTTCATTCAGAGCAAAGCTATATGTTCACAACTGTGCGAATTACCTGAAGTTATAGCTGCTGTATTCAAAGTCAATCAGCATTAGCTTCTGCTCACTGGATTCGCCAGTGTTGTCCAACAGCAGAAGATTTCCTGTGATGAAAACATTCAGATTACGCACATATGTAAAAAATATATAATGCATGTACAACATGTAAAAATAGACTTCCATTTTAACTTGTTCAGCCACATTGATTGCAGTGGGTCCCTTTCTGAAGCACAGTCTAGGATTTAAAATCTGCATTTTTGGAACTCACTCCTTGCAGTTTGGTAGAGTGATGGGCATAAGATAATATTTGTTCTAATTAATTCTAATTCTAACCTGTTTTAACTTTAGTTGCAGTGCTACTCTTTAATTTAAGCAGCATCAGCTTTAATTAAATTGGGGTAAACTATTTTGCCTTCTGTACAGCTCTCCCTTCCTCCACTTTATTGCCACTTGCACAATACATTTCACTGTATACATTGTACTAAAATTCACACCAAAATACCCGAATTTGCTATACTTAAATCTCCCGCCTAGATTTCTGTTTGTGCAATATTTGCAGTTTGCTCAGACCAATGGTATTTGGATGGATGACGAATTTGGCTGATAAATGGCGCTACAATTATTTTTGATGTCATTCCAAATAAATAAACAGATGTTGCCATCTGATAAAATAGTGATGAAAAAAAACGTTTAATATGAACAGAACAAGCAGTGAAGGTTTTGACATGACTTCTATTTGAAGAGCCTCAGTCGGAAGATCAGAGGTGACAACAAAATTGTGAGGCTTTTTTTACACTTTGGATTTGACCTTGAATCAAGGGCAACTGTTTGTCGTAGGTAAAATACAATATAATAACGCTTGCATTTGATATAAAGCTTTCCAGCCAATCTGCCCCCAACCTCTGGAATTCCATTCCTCAATCACTCCGCCTCCCCCCCTCCTTAGCCTCCTTCAAGTCCCACCTCAAAACCCTCCTCTTCGACCGTGCCATCGGCCACCCCCCCTTCCTCTCCCCTCTCCCCCCACCCCCCACAGCTCAGGTCTGAAATGCTGTACACTGTCCAGCGCCTTGGGACGTCCTCCCGACGTGAAAGGCACTAAACAAATGTAATCTTGTTGTTGTTGTTATCACGTTGCTGAGAGGTCTCAAAGCGCTTCAGAGTGTACTGTAAAGTGAAATTGACTGTATATTTTTTGGGCAAAACACAGCAGCCAAGTGCATACAGCAGTGTCCCACGAACAGTCGTAGATTGAGTGATCAAATTATTGTTTATTTATTCATTTATTTTGAAGGAATAAATTCTATCTATCTGCATTTTAAAACTTTGCCCAATACTTATGATTAAATATCAAAATCAATTACAAAAGGAGACCGATTCCTCCGTTTTCTCATTTCATCCTCGCTTGTTTTTCAGTATTTTGAAAAAAGAGAGATTTCATGGAATTTCATGTTTTTGACTGTTGTCTTGCCCACACTTGCCTTTTCTACTCGTTCATTGACAGTATTTTACAACATTTTCATAATATTAGATGATTCTTTTGTACAGTTACTTTTAGAGAAAAAAGTCTACTTAATGTCAAGCACTTTGAGACATGAAAGATGCTACAAGAATGTAAATTGGATTGTTCAGGTGCAACCTTCACTCATGTATCCTATAAAAATACATAACTCTCATCTGCGGTTTCAGCTCTGATGAAAGATCACAGCTCAAAGCACTCATTCATCATAAGGAGTTGACTGAGTTCTCCGTGGATTTGCAACATATTTTGGCTTAATTTCAAATTCACAAGTTTAGACTAGATCGCTTTAGTTCAGTGAAACATTTTTTTCCTTACCAATTCTAAGCAAAAGCCACATTTACACTATCCAGCAGAGCAAATCTGCAACAATCGATAGTGTGCTGGGAAAACAGGGAAAGGGCAGTGTCTGACCCCATTTCAGGATTACCCTCATTCCAAACTTATTTCAAGCAAAATCGGGAAAAATTCAAAAGGCTGTGAACAAAACCTCTCTCTCCCATGACTGGACCATTGCCTCACTCACTTGGGAAAATCAGGAAATTAGCCATTGATGAATAAAGAGCTATGGTTCTGGAAAAGGGTATCGAAACCATGAGCTGCTCACATTTCACACAAATTTCTCAGTGGAAGAGAAATATTCAACAAGAATAAAAACAGGCTGCAAACTAATGGCTTTCAGCTGTACAGCACTCCCAGAAATTCTGCTGATACAGAGCTTCCAGTTCATCTTTCTTCCCCCCCCGCCCCCCTCCCAGCAGATTCCCAACACTATAATTTTTCTTGGGGGTGGGAAGGACATGTAGATTGCTTTAATACAGAGGGTAATAATAGATAGTGAGAAGTTAACTGCATGTTGCATTATAACCTGAGACTTAATCACTTAATCTCTTTCATAGTCCGTGTTCCAGCATTGTTCTTACACACCGACTATGGGTGCACAGAATGGGATTTCCCATCAGGTATGTTGCAACCAAATCTGCTTTTGTGGTCTGATTAATGAATCCATTTTCAACTATCAGCTTTTTGCTGGCTGCAGCGTACATGAGACTTGTAATATAGATGCAAAGCCCTTGCTTGCTGAAATTGAGTTTTGTGTATATAGTTTAGTCTAAAGTTCCTGTCTGAAGGTGCGTGGGGGGCAGAATGGAGCCAGTTCAAACCAGGCTACTTGGATTCATTGCAGCACGACCGTGAAATTATGTTGGCAACACAACTTTTTAAAAATATAATTGGGAGATTCAATATGAGCTCTGCCTACATTGAAAAGCACTGATCCAAAGTCTTGCTAAAGTGCACTCCCATTTTCTTGTAATAGGAAGGAGGAAAGAGGGATAATCTGGCAGGATGTGATCTTATTTTTATTATCTTAATGAGCCAGAGAGCTTTCTTCATTTATACCTCTCTTATGACCTCGTGAAACTGCTAAGGCAAATCTGCTCACAGCAAACACCACTCCCTCCTCCTCTGAACAGGTGTTGCCATTACAGAAAGACCAGAGCCCCACACATTCCAAGAGAGAAATATCTTATACAGGTGAAGCCATAGGAATTATTGTACATTCCTTCACTAATTTACTGTGAGAGTCATTTGCTGGATATGAACTTTGTACGGCGCTGTCCTTGATTGACTCAGATCATACCTCTCACACCGCCTGCACTTCATCTCCTCAAATGGCTTCTCCTCTAGCCCCTGGATGGTCTTGTGCGGTGTTCCTCAGGGCTCTGTCCCTGGTCCCCTCCTCTTCAACATCTATATGCTCCCGCTTGGTGACATCATCCGCAGACATGGGGCAACTTCCACATGTATGCAGATGCACCCAACCTCTCTGCCTCCACCCTCGACTCCAGGACCCCTGCTTTGCTGGCAGACATCAAGTCCTGGATGAGAGCTAACTTTCTTCAGTTGAACGTCAACAAGACCGAGGCCCTCCTGACTGGTTCCCGTCAGCGCCTCCTCACCTCAGGAGCTGACAGCATCACCATCCATGGTTGACTCCTTGCTAAGACAGTCCGGAACCTTGGGGTCTTCTTTGACCCTCAACTATCCTTTCTGCAACATGACCCGCTTTGCCTTCCCCCACCTCCTCAACCTCACCCAGCTTCGCCACCATCTCACACCGCGGGCCGTCGATACACTCATACACGCTTTCATTACATTGAGGCTCGACTATGCAAACTCACTGCTTGTCAGCATCCCCAATTCCTCCCTCCACAGGCTGCAGATCATCCAGAATTCTGCAGCCCGTGTCCTCTCCCATACTAGGCTCCGCGACTCTATCACCCCCATCCTTGACCAACTCCACTGGCTTCCCATCACACAGAGGATACAGGCCAAGATCCTGGTCCTCACCTTCAAAGCCCTCCACTGTCTTGCTCCCCCCTACCTGTGCGACCTCTGAACTTCCTGCCTTCCTGCTCACTCTCTCCGCTCAGTGGGCTCCAGTCTGCTTCACGGCCCCAGCCTCGCTCGCCCCACTATTGGCAGGCGGGCCTTTCCCCACTATGCCCCCACCCTCTGGAACTCCATCCCACAGTCCCTCTGCCTCGCCCTCTCCCTTGCCACCTTCGAGACCCATCTCAAAACCCTCCTCTTCGACCATGCTTTCCCTGCTTCCCCCCCTACCCTCCACCCTCCCCGACCCCCAGCTCGGCACCATAACTCCGTCTGTCCAGCGCCTTGGGACGTCCTCCCAACATGAAAAGCGCTTTACAAATGTAATTTTGTTGTTGTTTGTAAAATGATATGAAATTAAGTAATCCAGTAATTTCTATGCATCGTCGCTGCCCTAACAACTCCACAAAGATGGGTTTTACAGCATTCTCTTCTGTTGTCGCCACAATTTTCTAACCTTTCAGTTATGCAAGAAATAAGTAACTCTTATATTTTCTCGTCCACTATTATATATGAGATTGATTATTTAGTATAGCTAAAGGTGCCATCCCCTTATCTTAATTAGTAAATTTCAAATATCCCCAGATCGATGAGGCTTCCAATAACAACATAGAGTAAACACAGTATATGCAGCAATAAAGTGGTTTTACTGAGAAAAATGACTGATCCAAAAATAAACCGTCTTACCTTCCTGGCAATCGTTGTGACAAAAAACAACTGGTGAATGAGTAGCATGGAGCAAGGACCTGAGGAGTAAGACAGACAAAATAAAACGAGGTGTTTTCCACAGGAATTGTGAGAAAAGTCTCAACAAACAGCAACAGTAAAGAATGGGGGTGGTTGTGCTGTTTCCAGTGCTGGATTCTGAAGGAAGCTTCAAATCCTTCATATTCCACGAAAAACAGTGCTAGACTTGGGTCAACAAAGAATGTAATGAAACCAGTACACAAAGAACATCATGTTGTTTCATGTACATCTTAATTCTTAATGGCAAAAGCATTTCATCACAAGCAATATGACTTACTCTGGACCCCAGACGTATCATTTATTGTGTCAAGTACTTTGACGAGGGGATGGATACAAACTTTACGTTGGTCACGAGGGCCATTCTACTTCCTTGAGTGGTGGCAGATCAACAAAACGCTTTCACTTTCATATTTATTTTGTGGCTTTTAGTGTTAAAGCCCTTCAACGTTCCCCCTCCAACCAATGTGTGCGAGTAATTGTTACAAGTAATATTCAAAATATGTAGTCAATCCACTTTAGAATATATTCTGTGAACTGGTATGAGACTTCTCAACGATGTAATAAGATACTATATCTATATGCAAGGCTTATTATTTATTAATATTGTTACACAAAATGATTATTGCAAATTCTACACCTTCCCAACCAAAACTATAAAAGTAGAACAATGTACACAAGCACTGGATCACACTGCTTCTGTGATCAGTGGTAATTGGATATGGATATAAAAATAATAATCCTTGCATTTGCATTTGTATGCATATCGTAACCAGAGCTCTTTCTGGGCAATTTCCTGTGAGACATAAATGAAAGTGCAATGTTTCCAAAATGGCCCAGTTAAAAATGCAGAAAAAATTTGGAGGCTATGTGGTAAGAGTGGGACTATTTGGATAGTTCTTTCAAAGAGCACCACAGGCACAATGGGCCGAATGGCATCCTTCTGTGCTGTAAGATTCTATAATTATATGAAACCATGTGCTTGAAAATGTATTGGTTAAAAACAAAAAATTGTTTTGTGAATCTTTAGAACTTTTCCTCCATTCAGAATTCAATTTTATTTTACACACATACACAGCTTTTTAAGACTGAAAATCCTACATCTGGTTTCTGCAGCTTTTCCAATGTGTTTTTAAGAGTTTAGAATTCCCACTCCAAGCCAGGCCGAAGATTAATGCAGCATAGTTTGGATTGGGCTCATCGAGTCTCAAAGATAGAATTACAAAACTTCTGAAATCGATCTAAACAGGAGAGGGGGGAAAAAGCAGCCAGCGCAAGTTTTTACTGGGCTATTTTGGAAAGATTGCAAACTAACAACCAAAGCAAATACTCATCTTAGGATAAAACTAACCGTATGTAATTCAGCGTCAATTAAAGACACAAGCCTACAGGCTCAGCAGTTTCAATTCCCATGAGATGAAGTCTCGAGACACCCGCCCAAAGCAAGCTAACGTGATGGCCTTCAGATTTGATTTTAGTGCTTAAGGTTCGGGTTAAAGTTTACTTCGGTACAGTGCCAATGGAAACTGTTACTTTTGTTTTCAAAATAATAATCCTTGCATTTAATACAGAGCCTTATTACGTCGTAGAGATGGTGTTTCAAGGCGCTTCACAGGACATACTGTAAAGTATTTGTGGGCAAAAATGTGGCAGACAGTATGCGAATACCAATATCCCACAAACAGTTTGGTAAACCCACTGCCCAGTATGAAACTCAGCCCCAGATACAATCACAGATCTGTATCTATTTCATGTCAGCTGTGGTCATTCTCCTGATTGATATCCAATGGCTCGCGTCGGAACGTTTTTCGTGGGTGTGTATTTTTTACTACTGGGGAACAAATAAGCCTCGATATCCACCAAAATTAAATAGCACGTCCAAAGTCACATGGTAGAAAGGCCACTTGAAAGAGACAACGAAGAACAATAACTGCCCGCAGAACCACATTACAGCCTGAGAAACGAGGGGAGAGAATCGAAGGGAAACACCTCTAAAATCCAAATGCAACCAACATTTTAATTAAGCAGCTGCTACCGGAGTCAGTAGTGATGAGGAAAAGGGAGAAATGCTAGTCCCCACTTTGACATGCTGTGCCAGCACAACTGTGGGTTGACCTCTGCTATTTGTGGAATGGTCTGGCTTCAACTGCTATTTGTGGAATGGTTCAATATCCTCCGCAACAAGTTTCAAACCATACCCAGATTGGGAGAAGGAAAGCACCAATGGTGTCTTAACTTTTACGCTGCTCACCAATCACAATGACTTTAAAATGAGATTTCCCATTCCCAAACTGAAGCAACATGATTGTTGTTTCTTGTGTAGAAAACAACATGCACCATGTAGCACCATTCACATGAGTAGCGTCTTGGAGCACTTAATGGGGGGGTGGTTGGCTGCTGAACTGGAAAGGGAGGGAAGATGACCGAAGGCATGGTCGAAGAGGAAAGTCTTCAGGTGGGAATTGGTGACTAGGAGGTTTCAATGATCCAATCTGATACAACTGGTCTGAACAATTTCTGAATAGATTGACTTGATAGCATATAAAAAATAATTAATGTACATACGGCAAGTGTTAGTTGCATTGAATATTAAAGTTCATAATTTTAGACTTAACGAGAAAGCTACGGACGTGGAACATTTCTGCCTGGTTAAAGCCCTACCTCAGTTTCTCCAGCTCTTGTGGCAGGTTGTAGCTGAGAAGTTTATGGAACTTCCTAATGTAAGACTCTCTTGTGAAACTGATTCGCATCACTTGCTTTAAGTACCTGCATCAACAAGAATCAACACATGACAAAAACATTGGGATAAAAGCAGACAGTTTTATTTTTGTATAGAAGTGTTTATTTGTTATCATAAATAACATGAGAAGCATCAAGTCTAAATCTTTAAATGCAAGTCTAGAAGCTGCATTAAAATAAAACGTGAAATCTACCGCCAGCAAAAGCAAAGTGCCTAAGTAAGATTTAAAATGTGGATAGTTTAAAATATGGTCTTTTGGTTTTAAAATGGACTGATGGCACAATCAGCCCTTGACTGGGATTGCTTAACTGAAGTAGCTAATGTTAAAAAAAAAACCTGTCTAAGCTCTCACACAGAATGGCCATTTGGAATAAGTATTGGAAGACCAGAGTCCTTTATGGAACCAGACTGTGGTATCATTCATCATCTTCAGAGGCGGTGAGGAGAAAAGGGAAATAAAAAAGAAAAATTGGAGGCAAGGGAAATCAACTGACTGCAGATATATCTGGCACAGTGGAACACCTTAAAGCTTTTCCTGTGACTGAGGCGCCTAGGTTACAATTTATGCACCCATCATTTTACTGCTATCAAACCTCAAATGCTTATTTCTTCTTAAATTCACTATTTGCATTGTCTAACGTGGTTCTGCTGAATACTTTTAAATGATAAATTTATTCCCTTAACCCAGTTGAAGCAATCCAATACAAGACACCAAATACTTTTGAGTAGGATATACAGAAGTTAGCCACGCCAATTAAGTACTCACTTTTCCATGGTACAAAACAACCACTTTGGTTCTTTGTTAAATGGCATTTTCATGCCATGGAATGTAGCCATTTTCCTTGCAATTTCTGCTGAAATATTTGGAATACTCAGCTCCTGGGTCTCCAGTTTGCGGCTCTGAAGCAGAATGATACAACATCAAAGAAATAAGGCAATTATGTAAAAAAAACACTTGCTGTTCGGCTTGCAGACCCGATACATGTTCTGTTCAATACCAGACAAATACATTTATTGTATTGTGTAATATTTATAAACAAAAAAGACACATTGCTTCTTACTAACCTTGCAGAAGACACGACAGAAAACAGCTATGAGCAATATGTTGACGTTAAATCAAAAATAAACCACTTTCTCTTACACAGTCCAATTATTTTCTCCACAAATCAAACCATTATTCCGCTCATCATTCTGGTAGAAACTTATGCTGAATAATATTGTGCCTGAAGGATTCATTTGATGACAATGTTTGCTACCTATTTATTTCTTGGTATAGTAGTTCCAAGCAGAACTGAATGGTTTGTCTCAAACTTGCAACAAGAAGCATATTAATTATAAATTTAGAAACAAAGCAACCAAGAAAATAACTGGGAAAAAAATCTGGTCATGCTGTATACTGAAGGACAAATTTGTGGAGCGCTGTGACTAACTCAGCCTAGATTGTTTGCTAAATGTAAAAGGTACAGTAGATCAAATTGAAGCAGATTTCCTGACGTAAATGATGCAAGTCACATGAAACATAACTCAATCAATGATGCCATAATGGCTTGTTGACCAGACTTTTCCAATTAAAAGTGTTTATTGTCTCGCAACTACATATGCATTACTGTCGCTGTAGTTCTGCATAAAGTACTGATTTACTGCAGCAGTTTGAAATCAATTTCAAGGCCAGGAAAAGAGAGCGCTGAGCAGTGGTGGGGAAAAAGAGTTTGCGTTCTTTTTGCAAAGCATCCTCAATAAATAATAAATCCAGCAACTCTGGTTTAAACTCCTACTCTCAAAAATGCAATTACTGTACACTAAATTGATATTATACTTCGGAAAAGTTGCAGCAGAATATTTAATGCAAAACATTTAATTATACAAACAATCACTTGCAAAAAAAAAATTGGCAAGGATTTTGTTCCCACGTCTTTCATTTGCCACAAATGTGAAGTCCAGAGTTAAGTACAGACCATGGCCCAACGCCGGGTAGAATCAGACTTACCGGAATGAACTGTTCCAAGCGACCCTGAGGGAAGATTCCATATAACTTTGGACCAAGACATCGTTCTGCCAAGATAGCAAACATAACACTCTCCAACACCAAGGCTTCAGTCCCCTATATTTTAAAAACAAGACAAAACAATAACACCTTGTACTTTAAACTGTGGGGGGAAAACATCCCACAATACAACCGGATCATAGATACTGTGAAAAGAATGAACCTTTCATTCCCCATTAATATTTGGAGAATGTCACACCCATCAAGGACACATGTAACGTGAGACAGATGAAGGGCAGATCAGCCTCTGCTGTCCCATTTGGATACTTTCAATCGTTATCAGAATAATGTGACATTTTCATTGATCTTCGGAGCTTCAGTCGCCAATCTGGATTGTGATGTGGGTAGTTTTGTGCAGTTTTCACATCCATGGGGTACGTACATGGAAACTTGCCTCAGACTCATTCCACTTGCAAGGTTCAAGGCGACTTTCATCCCATCAGTTTAGGGTGAATTTGGTTGTTATCCACTTTTCATTCTTTTTTCCACTCATGAGCCAATTTTACGTTGCCTTAAAGGTATCACACTGTATTAAATAAAATGTCAGCTGTTTTCTAGTGCGTGCAAATACAGTTTAATTTCTTCTTCCTACAGTTGATTTCCCAGCCCAGGGTTTAGTTCTGAAGTGTAGTCACACCTGAAACATGTTCTGTCTTTAACTTTCAAAGGCTGTTTGTCTTCCTGTGTCTTCTCAGCGTTGTCTACTTTTATTTCAGATTTCAGTTTTTCTTTTACAGAACTTCTACAAAATCCTCTTTCACCGGATGAATAATCTACAATTGCAGAGTTCCTGAGAGAGTCTCATCATTGCTATTCCATTAGTGTTTCCCCTTAAGGGTTGAGTATTGCTGATAATGGAGGAAGGGGTTAAGATGTTCAAAATTCAGAGTTGCTTAGACCATAGGAAGGATTAAATTATGCTCAATTAATGAAAGTTTCTGTTTCTGACTGCTATAAATGACTTTTCATAGAAACATGTACATATGGAAAGGGTTAGATTCCTCAGTGATAACCTCAGCATCAACCAGCCTACCCATACTTACCGTCAAGGTCTATGTAAGGCTGGTAGCCACCTGATGAGTGACTTGTGCCCAGAAACCTTTACTCCCAGAAGCAAGGAAAATGAGTCAATGAATTCAGGAAATGTGGTGAAGGGGAGAAATAAGGATTTCTAAAACAGATTACTTTGCAAAAGTTGATATCTCTTAACTTTGATAGAACAGGGATGGATGGGGGTAGAGGAGGAAAGAGAAGACTTTCATATTAAAATACTATTTATAACTTTCTAAATGCACAAGGATTATTTAACATCAATATTTCATCACATCATCTGGAAAACAGTCAGTTGGATTTCAAATGCAGAAGTGAACTGCTTTTAAAAAAGCTGGAATTCAAGATATTAAAACTGTACTATCATAATTCTCAGTTTGATTCACAACAGTTAACTAAATCAAAGAATTCTCAGAAAGACTTTTAAATACAATGTTCTTTTTACCACAATAGGAAGGAAACATAAAAATATATAAACATTTTAATTCCTTTTCATAAATCTGGATGAATAAAACTATGAATTGGCATTTTAATTATTAGACATCTGAATTTCAAGTGACAAATTAAAACCATATTCTCGTATAATTTGAGAATGGAAGGGACAAAATGTAGGGTTCCCCACTATCCCCAGCCTGTTTTCGTTTAGTTTACTCCTTAGATCCCAACCCTAATCCACTTCATCATTCTCCCATGGAAAAGGAAAGGCTAGTTAAGTATTGCATACAAGTAGTAGGTGTTGCAACCTCAACTGTTTTTTGACACAAAGACATATATTTTCTCTTGTGATCAATTGAGCTTAAGTTGACGTGCTTCACTAATTTTTTTAATATGGCTATTGCTTCATGCAAGGATGGCTGTTACTGCGAATAACTTTACTTCTGCTTGACTGCACTCCATTGTTCCATTGCTTTTGAACACCTGTATTTTTACATTGCCTGCTCAAAGTCCCCAAACTGGGGAGTATACGGACGGCGGAGTTTTGAATTAGTTGGATTATGTGGATAGTGGAGGTGGGGAGACCAGCAAAATGGGCATTGGAATAGTCGAGGTGATAAAAGTATGGATTTGGGTTTCGGCTGCATTAGTTGTGAGGTACGATCACAACGTGACGGAGACAACGTGACGGAGGTGGAGAAAAACAGTCCTGGTCAGGGACTGGGTGTTGGGTAGGAATGCTGGGGATCAAACCTGACGCCAAGATTTCTCACAGTGTCTTAGGGATAGGCCAGGGAGGTTGAGGAGATCCAAGATGCAGGAGAGATGTTGACGGGAGCCAAGTAGAAAGGAACGCTCATAACTGATCAACTGATTAACTTTTAAACTGAACTAATTCTTCAACAAATCAGTAATGCTTTAAAAGTTGCACCTTTTGTAGTATAGAGTGAATCCAAAATTGGGGTTTAAATGAATTGGGCGGAAGTCCTGCTCTTGACACTATCAGAATGATAGTGAGACGATTTCAGAAGTTCAAGTTGCACCCAATGCAATATAAACCCAATGCTTGTGAATTGATTTTGCCTTCACATCACATTTCCTTTGAAAACTGGTGGATGGTCCAATGGATGTTCAAGAGATTCCAGAGGAAGACAAGAACGTGACATTAAAACTTTTGACATTTTGTCAGGGAATTGGATTACTTTTCGCTGCACATGCTCATGTTTCAGAAAAACAAAATGGTCTTGGAACAGAAAGTGACACACAACAAGAGGCTAGAGGAAGTGGGATTGATTTAGATAGCTCTTTTGAAAGAGCCAGCACAGACACGATGGGCCGAATGGTTTCCTTCTGTGTTGTATAATAAAAGAACATGTAGGATGGACAATTGAAACCAAAGGGTGTTTGTTCAAATTGGCCGCAGTTCAATTGACCCAGTCCCACAAGGTCAATCTTCATGTCTTTTTGCTATTCACATTACTACTTAACAGCTTGTAGGAGATGCAGAATGCCTACACTTCCGGCGAAATGGTGTGGGAAGGGTAGATCATGAAAAGAGTTGGATTCATTCAATTAGTTTGGCAGGAACTAATTGCTGAGACAGACAGCAAACGGCATTGAAATTATGCAAATGTGAGTTGCACAAATGCAAGCTTTTAAAAAAGTATTTCTTGTTGGATGCGGAGCAATAAAAACAACTTAACCAATGGCTAGACTATTTCCCTGGTGCAGTTGTATATAAAATGTTGGAAATGTCCAAAGATTAGTCTGTACTCCTAGTACTTATTGAAGCCACATGTGGTAAAAATATTGAATTATTTTATGGCAACCAGATCTCCAAATTAGTCACCATAAAGGATAGAAAGATCCAAAAAATGTGCTTCACTCAATTACTAGCCTCAGATCATTTTAATGAGATTCTGGGCCAAAGATGTGAAAATGAAAATGCTCCAGGAGTTTTTGAAAATTTTCACTTTTCACTTGTTTATGACGAATGAGGGGCATGCTTTCAAGACACGAGTTAAGGTAATTCACGAGCATGACTGCTGTAGAAGGCGTGCTTAACAACAACAACTTGCATTTAGAGACTGCCCTTCATGTAAGTAAGCAATTAGGTTACTAGTGAGGAAAGACAGAGAGGGCAAGATGGAGGGATTGTATAAAACAATACACATTTACGTACAGAGCGGCTTTCACCTTGGTAGGACATTTCAAGGCGCTTAATGGTACATTGTTTAGCAGGACTATCTTAATGCTGTTTAAGTATTAGGTCTCCCTCTCCCACCCCTGCTCAATTCCTAAAATTTGATTCCCTTCAGGCTTTTTTGTGACGGTAACATTTTTGTGTCCAGAGTGTGTGGATGGTACGAGGAAATTGCTTCATAGAGCACAAACTGAAGCACTCAGATTAAGAGATGGTATTGACTTGATGTTATTTCAGCTGTTACACTGTTATAAATCAGTGAATCCTCCAAGCAAGCAGCCCCAATGTGGTCACTACACTAACCATGAAATAATGTTGTGCACAATGGGTTGTGTGCAATTGACTGCTGTGTTTTCCCCACAAAATATATAGTCAATTCAATTCACAGTATATTCTGTGAAGCGCTTTGAGACGTCTAGAAGACGTGATAAGGAGCTATATCAAATGATTAAGGATTTTATAAGGATTATTATTTTAAAACTATAAATAAAGCAAAACCATAGGTTTATTATATTTCTTTGTTACACTTTTTTTTAAAAAAACAGGGGGGTGATGTTGACAAGACTCCACCCTTGGGACCATTTGGTGGAATGCTAAGCATACAAGAAGCATGACTTTTACTGAGTGGGAGCAAAGCAACACTTTCCCACTCAGAATCACTCCACCACAGCCATCCTTATCAAATGCCTACAGGAATGACTGATTGATCAGACACACCCAGAAAGACACTGCTCCTTACCAACAATATCAACGTCAAACCAAAGAGCAGTAACATTTCCTGTGTGTCATTCCTCCCCTTCAGCCTACTTTTTTCTGACCTCAAATTTGCTTTTCCTCAAAGCTAGTTCTTCCTTTTAGTTTCTTTCTTGCTATTTTATGCCACTGTACAATTTCAAACATCTCCCTTAGAATATCACACAATTCAATTTCCAATTGCATTCCCACTTCATTTATGATCAGGTCTGAGTCAGTCTGTGCTTTGCTCTTGATATTGCCCACAACTTGAGGACCATCTATTTCCTTGGCATCACTTCTAAATTGGCAACTCAGATAAATTCATCTACAGCAAAGCCTCAACATGGATTTTGCTGACTAGAAATTAAATCTAAGTACGGATTGTCTCACAAAAATAATTGTATAAATAGCTCTTTATTGGTTATAGGCTCATTTCTGCACCATATGACCCAATAACATCATGTTTTTTTATTTTGTTAGTTGCATTCATTGGAAGAATGTGTCATTTTATTACACTTTAAGGCAGAATGGCTTCAGTCTTCATTTATCTACCATTTTTAGATTTTATGTCTGGTTTCCTACACACATTTAGACACAGTGATCCATGCAATTCAAAGGATAAAGGATCCTTTTGTTGTGGATCTGCCAAATATTTGACATTGGTTTCAAACAAGTGGAGTGATCTATGATGGGCCCAGCACCTCAGGGGATTGAATTCATAGAAAATAATCGTGTCCTTTTATAAGCAAGGCAATCTGGAACTGGTCCAGCATAGAATGTCGGACTCAATCTTTTTGTCAACTTGAAACTGAAATGAATACACCATAACTCGCAGCTATAAACAAGTTTCAGTTTCTGCAACCTTATACGTCATAATTAAAACCTCGGTGGCAGGGGAAACGCCACGAATAACATACTCGCAGGCCATACTGGTTATTCTATCCTCATATGCTGATTTGACCTGTATATCAGAATGGCTGGACTAAAGGCACTAAACATACCAGGTTACAGAAGGATGTACCAATACAATAGTACGCACAATACCATCACTTCAACACTGGATTGCAAAATACTTACCAACTAGCCTCTGCTAATATCACTGGCATTGCGTAAAATAGATCAAATAGTATTTAGCCACAAATAACTGCTGGGTGATTTATGTATTGCTGCAAAAAAAATCCATTCTTTTAAAACAACTTGTAACGTCTCATCTGCTGCCAATTGTTCCCCCTCAATAGGTTTCATTGCGCTGATTTATTTTCACATGATTTGTTCACGTGTTGTGTTTTTCCACTGGGATTCATTCAAGTAAACTAAATGAAATCCTGTGAAAACATCATTCACTCTCCGTAGTTTTACAGGCTCCAGTGGTAAATACAACTTCACAGAACACTACTGGCCAGTGAAACTGCTCAATTCCTAATTAAAATGACTCAAGGTTTAATTCCAGCCATAACACAAACATGAACAAACTCTCACGTTGAGGGCATTGATTCTGGACTCTTTCCAGAGATGTGACTGAATTCCAACATCTGCTGCCAAGCTTTGAATATGTCCTTGTTGAAAAATACAATCAAAACATCGTTAACAAATTGAGTTCAAACTATAGAAATGCTAGGAATACTTTGGTGCATGAGACAGCTCTGGGACAGTTGGTTTGCTGGCATGTGTCAGTCAGAATTAGCCAGGGTAATTCAGAAATCTTTCAAGAATTATTAACGCATAGGAAATGAACACGTTCTGAATACATAACACTGGAAACATCTAGAGAAAACATAAGATCGGGGATTTTACTGACTGAACATCTCAGTTACACATTGTTACCACAGGGAGAATAGCACATGTTCTCAGGTGAATACAACATATTTTAGTTTTTATTTAAAAAAGTCACAGAAAATGTTCTGCGCGAGTCTGCTGCATAGAAAGGAGAGATAAAAATCATCAAATACTGATGCACGAACAAAGAGTGAGCTTCAAATAGTTAGGCTGCCATTGTTTACTGCAGTCACTGACTTGCAGTCAGTTTGCAGGCAGAGGAGTAGTTTTAAAATGGAGCCCAGTGGAGTTCAATGCAGCACAGTAGAAAATGGTCTCCTGGCTTGGAAAATACAGAAAAAAAAATCTATCGACTGATAACTTAACTTAAGCATCATAGAATGGCTCAGATTAAAGACACACCATTAATATCCACACACTAATAAAACATTAGTACAAGAGAACAGAGGTGTTAATTTTTTATTATTATTGGTTAGCATTTAAGATATGTAAGAAAATTAAGGCAGTATGAAAGCCTAGCTGTAGACCTACAGCAAACTGTAAATGCAAGCTTGCCCATGAGCTGCTGGACAGTAAAACCGCAATTCTCTTAACACAGAAAAAATATTCAATCAAAATTGGTAACACTCATCACATTGAACAGTCTTTCAAAGTATATTCTGATTTCGATGTTGCTGGAGTTAGATTAACTTTGGGGTTTTTGGAAGTTTTTCACATACGCCCTACCTAATTTAATACCTAAATTAATACTGCTGCTAAATTATGTATAGTTTAATCGAAATTTGTAATAAATGAAACAAGATCTTGAAAGAAACTTTGTGCATGAGAACCTTATTTCTTATTTGTAAACTGTACTTTGCACAGTTCCGTAACAGGATGTGGTTACGGGTAATTATTCTTACGCTTTCCCCCCCTCCCCCTGCCTGTTTTAAAATAATCCTGTGCAGCTTTCATACAGGTTGGATTCATCACAAAAATGTGCCCCGATAATCAAGTATGGATAAAGATTAAAACAAATACAGACCCCTGCTGAGACTCAGAATATCCCTGGACTCTAGAAGTACGTTTTAAATTCTTTTTATGCAATAAAAAGTCTCCCAAGCACGACCGCAACTCTAAAATAAACATTAGCTATAGATTAAAGGTACCTAACAGACCCCCAATTAATAGGTATATGGTCAAGATAATGTGCACAAATTAGATGCGATTGCACAAGCAAAATGCAGATGGGGACGTGGGGGTGGTCTGGTGGCATTTGTAAAGGAAACAACTCATAGCTCACTCACAAAATCTTAGCACAAGTCAACCCATCGAGAAATACTGGGCACAAGTAGTAGCCAGCAAAGTATTGCAAAAGGAATGTGAGTGTTGTTAGCGGTGCATAATCCTTCTCTCGGGATTTCAGAAATTTGCTGATTCACTAAACTGAATAATTTGACAACAAAAGGGAACCCAGCAGTGTTTAATAACATTGTGCAAATAGCCTACGCGAGAAATCCTAACCAGAAATCTGGATGAGGTTCAATTTAACCCTTGGGAATATTTATTCAGATTGCAGACCGCAGCCACTAACAACTGTGGATTCTCAGCGATGCAGCAAGTGCTACAATCTCTTAAGGTATAACATTCCTGGTTTGAAACTCTCTCTGTGTTTTTGAAGTGGGTTTTGTATTGGTCCATTGGACAACAGGCGACAGATAAAGATAGTACATTGCTTGCACATTTAACAAAGGGCACATGTGATTTGTGCGATGTGAGTTCCTCTGGTTTACACAGTCCTTTTGTTCTCACTTTTTATCTGCAAGGTCATTATTATACTGCATTTCTGCTGCTTAGTCATTTCAGAAGTCCGATTACACATAAAAAAAACCCTAGTTGCCTACCAGTTCACATATACAAATTGTACTGAGTATTGTTCTGGTGTGAGGGATCTGGGTGTGCCCCCGTAATCTCCCCAAATCACTTTGTTCCTAATTTTCAGAGATCGTCTCCCACAGAGGGAAATACTGGAGAGAAAGCAATGAACCTAATTATCATGGCACGATTCTCACCCACACCACAATCTCCTGTTAAAACTAGTACCGGGGAGAGCCAGGGTGTGGGGCATTAAACAATGCAGACTATATCGGTACGGAAAGCTGACTTACACATCAGAAATAAAGGAAGCAAAAAAGGCTCCATCCAATTTCAATCATATTATGCATTCTATCAAATTTATTTAATCTCTTGCAGTTCATGAACAATCACTTCTCCGTTCCCCCTCAGATAAATGCTGTGAATTTTCCCCAAAGCTCCCAAACCAATCCAATGAAACTTCAAGACATCGACATAATCTTACAACCTGCTCGGACCAATTCAGTAGCTGTTTTCTACCAGTGTAATAGATAATATTCCAGAAATACAGAACAAATGTGGTGTTATACGATTCACATTTCATCTCCTTGCTCTTCGGCAAAACAAGGAGAAAGGAATAGGAAACAAGTCTGTGTCAGCTTTCGCAGGGCAAGTGAAAGGGTTCCATTGAAATAAAACTATTTGTCCTAAGGTTCTTTTTCTCCATTCTTCCTCTGGATAAGTGCTCACAGTGACAATCTAAACAAGGACATACAATGTGAATACACACTGTGGTTTTATGCATTTTTGGGAGTAGCTCTCAAGCAAGATATTAATACGGCTGCAGCCCTTAAAATAAAAAGTAGTGAGGAACACTGTTTTATAAATAGAGCATTTAATAAAGTTAGTAATCTATTTTGCAACAGCCAGCAGCAAAACGTTCATTCTTTAACACAGATAAACTTTAATGGAATCAGCTACACACAGCAGGACCTGATAACAATCAGAAGGAAACAAAACACAAAATACTGCGGATGCTGGAAATCTGAAAACCATCTGAAAACAGTCAGAAGGAGCCTCACTTACACGTTGATAAAGAGGAGATATATTCTGAAGATGATGGAGATTAAAGTGTACTTACGCGAAAAGCATCTTTCTCCTGGTTATTCTGTTTAGAATCCCCTTTATTACAGGAAATCTATCAACAAGACAGAAAGCAAACAAATTTTCTTAACAAGTGAAAAAAAATTACATCTGGAAAACAAATCAAACAGCTCGATATATTACTTTCCCTTCTAGGATTTATTTTATTAAAAGGTATCCGAGATCTACGACCTAGCATTCTAGCATTATTGCAAACCGCATAGTGTCACTAGGGGTCAGTTACTGTAAAAACTGTAAAAAGTAGTGCCATCTGGGCTTGAGCTGCATGATTTGCAGAAAAACTCTACCCATCTTTAACTTGTGGTAGTATTATAGAAAAGCAATCCTTAGTTGGTAAGAATAGTGTTTGTGCCGAGCATTATTGCAAAAGGAAAGAAGCAGGGAAAGACAGACGCACAGTATTGTATTTTTACTAGCAAAGGAATTTGGGGAGTTGTGCTGTGGTTAATGTGTCTTCAAAGGAAGCCATTTTAATAAAGTTCCATTTGTGAGGCCATGGGAAAAACAATTTGCATTTAATTTCAAATTGCAATTTTAATATTTTATCCTTTCAATTGAAATCAGAAAAAGAGAAAAAAAAAGGATTTTTGTCAGAAATCTTTGAATTGACTTCATGCCACTAAAAAGAGATTTGTTGCTTCAGGACCGTAGCTTTTGTGAAAACAAAGAATTGTTTGAATGAGTTCAACCTTTGAGGTCCACACTCAAATGCAAGTAATTGGAATGGCACAAAAAAACACTAAGTTTTAAAATGTTCTCCCTCAAGTGGTTATGCCATCCGTGTGTGATGTAGAAAGCAAAGCGCACAATGAAAGATGAAACATTAGTCACGATGAGAAGGGTTAGATGAGATTCAGTAACAGACGAGGTGAATAAAGGCACCATTAATCAGTACAAGCTATCTTAACACCCACTACCTTATATTGAAAACCTTTGACTTCACCAGAAAATAGGTTCCTTTAAAGGGAGAAGTGTTTTAGTAATGAAACTCAAACTGAGCAAATTGTTAAGAAGAACCCTAGATTATTTTGTTGAAATATTCTATTCTTTACTTGTTTTTGTAGAGCAGCGTACAAATCATGAAAATATACTGTATTTAGCTTAACCGAGGCTTAATAAGCCATTGATGGAGAGCTTTCATATAATCAGCTTTTTCCCAGGTGGCACATAGCTCTTTACAAAATTGGTGTGTATATATATATATTTTTAAAAAAATAAGAATAATTTTCTCCCACCATCTGTGCTCCCGCGCTATGTTCTATTCTCTGACTGAGGGCAGTCAGGCACCCTGCTCCCAGGGCTCTACCAATGCCACTCGACCCACTGCTGGGAAGCGCACAAGAGTGGTCCAAATTGATTCACTCTCCAAATTTATACCTCGAAGGGAAACACTTCTTTCTGCTTGGCAACTCTCCCGACTCGCTCGGCTGAGACTAGGTACTCAACTGAGTGGAGAAATCGGAGGTACGGGCTTCTGGCCTGCCACTCAGTTGGCATATCACTTTAACGCGCTGAAGTAGTATACCACAGGGCCACTTATTAAGTTTCAAAGCACTTTGTACCAAACGCACATTGTATTGTCTGCTGGGAAGCCAACTTCAAAGCTGCTTGGTGAGCCATACAGGTATGAATAAGCCCCATTTAAAAAAATCACTTCCAAAATAAAAAATAATTCATTACAGAAGAGTGAAACATTTATATAATGAACCGAAGGACCAACTTTGTGGTTTTTTTTTTTACAAAGTAACATTAATAGAAATTAGGATTTGTTTAAAATGGTAGAAGATGCTCCAACGTCAGAGATCAGATACTGTACCGTGAATCGTGTCTGTCACCTGGAAACCAGAGTGCTCAAGGCACGATCGCAAAGGCACGATCGCACGGGCAAGCCTGCAGCAGAGAACATATGCAAGTACAGCCAAGGTGGTACAGAACCCCCCATAACATACTCAACTCCACACAACAGACACTATTGGAAAGACCCCTCACAGAGTGAGATCTGAGATGCGGTCCCCTCCAGAACGATTTATTATTTTTTTCTCTCTTAAATGATTACGCCACATTTACAATAAGTTTCCAAACAAACGTCACCAATAAATTAACTAGCTTTCTGTGACTCGTTTAGAATTAACTCAGTCATATTTTATTTCTTAAGGGATGGGCTACCATGTTAGATTTGTGCTACCTCACAGTCTTGCGTATCATGTTTTTTCCCTAGGCAAGTTAATTTGATCCACAACTAGTATTAAAAAAGCATCACCATTATGACCATCATGCTAGATGGAGCCATCCAAGTAGAATTTGGGCATCGTGAATGGTTATTAGAAAACTAAATCAAGCATTCACTCTCATATTTCACAGGCTGTTTTTCAACTGACCAGCAACGAAGATTTTGTTAGAATGCATGTACTTTTTCTAAGTGTTTCAATAAGCTTAGTATTTTCACTTGGCGAAACAGGTCTGAGAACAACAGCTGGCTTGGACAGTGATACAAGCCTTTAAATGACAGAAGATGCTGTGACATTGAAAAGTTTGTGAGCACTGTTTGTCATCCAAATTCTACATTTTTTGTCACGGAATGAGTGATTATCAAAACCAGAAATTTATCACATATACACACTCCACCACCAGGTTTGATTTGGGGTTGAATATTATTTTCGGCACTGCAACCCTCACAATGCAACATCTCATTCAATGTGGGACATTATTTACTCGACAGCAAGAGTAAATGATTCAGTTGTTAAAGTACATTTAAAAGTATTTGTCCCTGCTCACTCCACCTCCCCTAATCACAAAGCATATTGTACTGTTGAAACTCTCATTGTATAGCATGAGTTAAAAATATACTGAAATTAACAGTTAAGATTATTTTTAAACTTCCAGTTTTGCTGACCATTGCCCAACTTTACACCTCAATGCAATTGGATGTCTGTCTCCAATGATGATTACATTTCTAGAATGCAAGACTTTCACAGCTCTATAATTAGGTGATAAACCATGCTACATTCTCAAATTCCTTCACGTGGTCAGAGATTTGCTGAGTTATTTGCTATAATTTGTAACTCAAAATTACGCTCACATGAACACAAGTCATTTCTATAGCACACTTATTGTATGTTATAGTGCAGAACAATTAAAAACTATTTTCCAACCCTGAAGTCGTGTTTTACAGTATTGTATAATTATTCAGCTGCTATGCCACAAACAATATAATACACTCACCCTTTGGGGGTTCAGGGTTGGGGTTTTCCCAACAGCTGTGAGAATTATTTCTGTATCCTCTCTCTGTCCCATTTGCAAGTCTGCACCAGTGTTCTAGCAGGTGTTATTCAACCAGTGTTGAACAAATGAATGACATCTGCACATTGAACAAACACCGAATGTCACAGCGGCTCGCTATGTGTGCAGGAGCCATTCCTGACAAGAGACTTTTATAGCACTCATACATTTACTTCTAGCTTCAATTACAAAACAATGTGGAGATTTCCGAACAAATACAAAAGTAATGTCTGGCAACCACTGCACTGCAGTTTATTAACTGTTTGTGAGAGGGGAAGTTCATTGGACTGAATGGACCAATATTCCTTCAGGTTTCATAACTCAGTGTATTCTCATCACTTGTTGTTGCACATTTTATGCCCTTTTATGTTCTTTGGGGGCAGCTTGGAATTTTTGTGTGTGTCTCTTTTGGAGACAACATGTAAGACTTAGTGGAATGCTGGCCACTGGATGTCACAGGAGGGGACCTTCTATACAAAGAAAGGAATCTTCTTCCATTCATTTCCAAGTAGAATATGCTTTCTACTACTCCAAGTAGCAACAGGAGGTGACAACTGTATAAAGGGCAATCTGGTGGAAATTCACTTACCTTTTAATTCTCAAGTATTGGAAATATTGTTCAATGAAACTGACCAAATGTTTCATTGCGGTATAATGTATTTTTACATCAACTGACTACGATGGTTATGCTTCTATTAGTCAATTAATTATTGATGTTCCATGAAATCACCAACATACATTAATTACTAACTTTTCGTAAATTGATTGGGCTTGTCTGTTGCTTGTAATTAGTTAATTGCATCAATTAATACAATGTGGTGCTTATTTAATGACAGCATTGTCTTTTAGACCCAGTGCGTCTACTATTCTTGCAGGGGTTGGGATCTAGCAGGTGTTACTGAAACGTACACAGCTGAGCAACAGTTTGACTTGGAAAGTCTGGGTTTGCATCATACGGCTCAACCCTTCGACCTCAAGGTCAATACAATGGCTGCCATGTATAAAAGTACGCTCAAAGGGAGGCAAAGGAAGGAAACAGAGAGGAGAGGCTGAACGTTAAACAGAATCTGCCGGTGATGAAGCATTGTGAAAGATAAATAAATGATTCTCCAAATTAGTAAAGGCAAGAAGCAACCTGAACTTCAGGCTTGACTGCATATCAATTATCATATAAACACTTAACCAGGGGCAGATTATTTTACTTTGGGAGGGGAAAAAAGTATTCCTACCAGGTACACAAAACTTGTTGCCACACTTGCTTCCTTTCATGCAAGAATGAAAAATTTACCCCAGTGACAATAACCAGCATATAGTTTGAAACAATTATATTTTCTAAGTGCAATTTCATACAAATCAAAACGTATGGTATACACAGTGCAACAGGCTGAAGTGAAGCATTATGTTTAGTTAAGCTCAGGAAATCAAGTTCTGAAAGAAAGCAGGATTTGCATAAAAATATAAATAAAAGCACACATACTGTGGAATACTCACTGTACCATTCTGTAAAAATCACAGTCAAAACACAAAATAGATTCATCTTGAGTTCCAATTGCAAAGTTATGGTTATATAAGACAATCTTGTTATGATCAAAGTTTTTCTTCATTCAGATTGGATAAATGTGAATGATAACTAAAACTAGATAGGCCCACAAAGTACTCAAAAATATACTTTGGATTTGAATTAATTGAAAAGTAAACCTGAGGTTTAAAAGATAATTCACTCCAGGACAGATAGGTTCAATAATATTTGGTTGC